CCCAGAGTGGGGAGTCTGGCCCTAGCCCAGCAGGACAGGAGCTGTGGCTGAGCAACAGGGTGAGTGCAAGGCGAGCTTGCTCTTCAACCCCCAAACCTAGGGCCTCACATTTGTGTTTTTGTAACTGGCCTCTGTTTTTGCACCCCCTTGTGGTGTGTGTGTGTGTGTGTGTTTTTGTAAGGGTAGGGCCTCAGTTTCAGATTTTGTCCCAGGCTTTCAAGAACCTTTGTGTGCCCCTGCTGGGAGTCATGGTCCAGAGGAAAGAGACTGCTTAACCCACACAGTCCCCTTTAGGACTGTAGATAGTCCTTGGGAAGTCCTTTGGGCAAGACTCTGTATTTAATCCTTTGCAGGGAGTGCCATATCAGTAACATGCATTTCATTACAATTTACGCCATTACAGTAATTTGCTATGTCCAATCTAAAATTTCTTTTACAGATTTAAAAATGTTATTAAAGCTAATGTTAAAAAATTATATAGTACACAGGTTAAGAAAAAAGTGTGTACACATCTGGGCATAGTGCTTAGATTATCCACACATACAAGGTTTGTTTTTAAAGTCAGAAGATATATATAGTGCATAATCAGCAATAACCCAAATTTAGGTGAATACATTTAAGAATACAGTTTAGATATTAGCATCCAAGTATTCAGGTACATCACTCATGAAAAGTTATACAGAGAGTTGGTTGTGGAAAGCAAATATAGCAATGAGTGAGGATTGTCCCTCAGTAATTGAGAATACAGGGTAGGTTGTCCATTTAGAAAATACAATCTACTTTTCTACAACACTACTTCTTTGTATCCCTCTCTTTAACCGCCACTACCATTACCCCTGCAATCTCAATGCCATCTATCCGCCCCCTTTAAATTCTGATCCCCTAGACAATTCAGTCCCAGTAATTAGTTAGCTAGAATGCTGAGTTAGAGTGTGAAAAGAATTAAGTTTGCAATACTGCACACCTCTGGGGACATGATGTCACTATTCTCACTAGTCACTGTATAGGCTCCATGCAAGGATGAATACTTTATGATCCCTGAGTGCCTCTATTGCTGTTCTTTGTATGCAATTTGATCTGACATCAGGCAAGTACAGAAAAATCATAAGCTAGAGATTCCTGTTCTTATGGTGCATCATTTATAGGCTCCCCTTTTCTGAATTCTCTGTCCTAAGAAAGGAAGAGGCCTGACATATTTTCTGTGTCTAATTTGCCATGTACTGCCACTCAGCAAGTCAACAGTTATATGAAGCCTCCCTGCTGTAATGACTCAGCAGTGAGAAACAGGATCCTTTCGAAGTCACAAGATAAACATATTATGCTAATAAGAGGAACCTAAATTTCCACTCTGTGGTAATTTACATAGCAAGTGCTGGGTTAGACAAATCCTACAGGAATAAAAATTAATATCCAAATGCAAGCCATGCTCAGCCTCTTTCTGTTTCTCTATAATTTCATCACTTAGTCTGTTCCATTTCATTAACCCGAAAGAATGATTGCTTCATAATACAGCACCATTTCTCCTGTATGTCAATGTACTTTTGCGGAGGGAGGGGACCTAGGTGGACTTTCACTCTTAATTTCTTTGTTTATATCATTCCTTGCCCTTCTTCACTGCCACTCTTAGATCCCTGACAGTTGCCTGCAACAATAGACTGGGGATGTCTTTCATGATGCTGCCTTCTCATTAGCAAGGCAAGAAAGCCAACAGAATCTATTATTTATCTAGGGCTCAAAAGTTTACAAAGCATGCAGCATAAAAGGAAGGCTACTCTTTTAAGAAAGTGACTTCTCAGTCTTCCACATACCCAAACTCACTTGTATTTACTAATCCATAATTATTAACACTTCAATAACATCAACATTTCAATAGCATTATGTAAAACAACTGAAGTTTAAAGGAATAAACCTGAGGGATCCACAAGAAAAATCAGCATTTAAGGTAAATTACTTTTAACCCTATTTAATAGCATGTGGCGCTAGGAGGAGGTGGTGGTTAATTAATATTTATTTGCAGGATTTAGGGGCAAGGTTTACTTGATTATATTTACTTTGATAGCAATGTATGTTACTCCTTTTATTGTACTGTGAACTTGAGCTCTTGTGAAGTGTTGGATTTACGGCCCTTGGAAACTGCTGTCTTCCATACACAATACAGAAGCAGCAAAGGCAGTATAAATAAGGACATGAAAGAAAATGGTGGGCCGCAATTTTGTTGGGGAAACTGCAACTTTCCACACACTCTGCAACTTTTCTGCATTGCCATTCGCTCCAATTTGTCCCAGACATCCCTCTGTTATGCGGAGGGGCATCTGGGCCAAATCTGAGTAAGTGGCATTGTGTGACCTGGCACTTGTGGTGGGAGTGGGGGTGGGGGCAGACAAGGAGAGGGCCCGGGAGCTGTGCAGGTCAGGGCCAGGCTCTCCCACCTCTGGCTCACTGGGCCACCTGGCTACCCAGGAGCAGGATGAGCAGAGCTTGACCCCAGAGCCCAGCAGTAAGTGGGGAGGGGAGTCGGCAAGGCCCCAGCATGGTGCCGCAGGCAGAGTCTGTCCCAAGCACTGCAAGCACCCAGCAAGCCAACCCCAACCCTGGGGCAGCACTAGTGAGTTTGTCCTTCATTGGTACTTTGCCAGAGGGGAGGAAAGGGGATGCAGAGGAGAGAGCCAGACACAGAATTGGGGCGGGAGGGGTATCCAGCCCCATAGGAGGGTAAAGGACCCTGCTGCCAACTCAACATCTAGTCAGTTACAAAACAAGAGTTTAGGTCCTATCTCCCCACAGCTGCCTATACACACCTGCTCCCCCGCACACAGGAGCACCACCAGCTTTTCTGCCGCCCTAGGCGGCGGAAGGTCCCGCCCCGAAATGCCGCCCCCCACAGAGATGGCGGAAGGTCCCGCCGCCGAAATACCGCCACGGTCGCCGCCCCCCAAATTGTAGTGCCCTAGGCAACCGCCTAGGTCGCTTAATGGGTTGCACCGGCCCTGCCCGCACACTACCTTTTGTGGTACTTGAGCTGACCGCTCCAAAACTGCAGCTTTAACAAACTGTGGCTGCAACTTTTGAACCAAAAAAAATCACAACTTTCTTACAGCCTTAAGAGTAGCTCTTATACAGCTCTCTTCTTCAGTACATTTCAAAGCATTTTGTCTGTTGTATAGGCAGGCCATGCATCTGGTTTTAAACTAGACCCGGTATGCCCAACCTACAGCCCATGGGTCATACAGGGCTCACCAGAGCATTTCATAAGGCCTGGGGCCTACTTCAACACAATATACTAACAGGCAATTCATTAGTTTTTTGTCATTGTGTTTACATCATTTTAGGTCACACAAGTGTGTAAATAAACAATACCATACATAGAAATAACCTAATTACATACGAAACAAGCCGAACTTAAAATATAAATCAATACAGGTGACTTTAAATCTTATTAAAATATGTAGAATCTGTTTGGCCCACACAAGGTTGTTCTTAATTTTATGTGGCTCTCCTGTGTAACAAGGTTGGGCACCACTGAACTTGGCAGTCCTGCTTTTTCAAGCTTGTCCCATCTGGCACCGAGACAAAATTTTTCACATTTGCTGTCTGGTCACCTTAGTCACTCCACCGGCATGACCTTGCACACACCACATCAGTACAGGAGGAGCAGCGCACTCTTCAAAAGTGCATCCCCCATGTGGTCTGAAATCACATGCACAATGCAGGCAAGGTCACACCAGTGAGGGCAAGCCCACACCATTCCCAGCCGTACTAGAATGTCCTATATTCCAGGAATGCACAAGTCCTACCTTTGGTCCATATCATTATCCCCACTTCACAGATCAGAACACTGAGGCTGAGAGAGGTCAAGTGACTTGTTCAAAGTCTCCCAGCAGGCTAGTGGCCAAGCCAGAAATAGAACTCAAGTCTCCTGAATTCTAGTCCAACACTCTAGCCATTAGGTCATGCTGCTTTGTGCACTGCCTCACCTAAATAATCTCAATTCCTCATGACCCTGAGACCTCAGCTCTAGAGAAACGAGGACAGTCTCTGATTGCCCAAATGGAAACCTTAGTTGAAACATTTTAGTTGGTTCTTCTGGGTTATATTTCAATACTAGTTTTTTAAATGCTTAGTAACCAACTGGAACCACATGGAAATTTTGATCTAGGGTGAAGGTGATCAGCCCTCTGAGGTTGTGTCTGCAGCATTTCAACTATCAATTTACAGGAAAATCTCTCACTGTTTGCAACTCTGCTTTTTCCACTGGAGAGCTATCTGCACTAATACTCCCCCTCCCACCATCAATACCCATCAGGGGAGCTGCACAGGAGGCTATGCAGTGCAGTATTGGGAGATTTCCCAAGAATCCCAGCCTAGACTAGTGTCAGAGTTGCCAACTCTTGCAGCATAAAGCCCCATCTTCTGGAGTCCCAGGGATTACATGAGACTCCTCCCTTTCTTGCTTTATAGATGGAATCATTTAAAGCAAGTGTCCACCCACAGCTGGGCAGAGGAAAGCTACAAAATCCGAGGGCTCACAAGCCAGAAACACCCCAACTTTGTTCGGGTTTGCCCGTGGTATGAGCTGGAGGCAACCTCATAACGTGGGGGGCTGACGGTGGCTCCCCCTCCAACCCCGGGTTCCTTCCTATCAGGGCAGCTGCGGGGGGCGGGGTCCCTGGCAAAGGGGGACGTTGCGGGGCAAGCGCTGCGGGAGGGGACCCGGGGGAAGAGGCCCCGCTACAGCCCGGGAACTAGTCACCCCGCCCCCGCCCCGTGGGCTCTGCGCCTACACCGCGGGTCGGGGCTCATCGCCAGGGAAGGGAGCGGGCAAAATTCTCGCGAGACTTGTGGAGAACTCGGTTGCTGAGGCAACCGGGCGGCCGCTCATGGGCGGGATTTCCGCCCCTTTGGGCTCCGCGCCTGGGCCCGGGGCGGGGCGCGCCCAGAGGGGGCGGGGCTGGGGCGGGGCTCGGGTACGGTATGCGCGGTTAGGGGCCCGGAGCCTGCATTAACATAGAGGGGGCGGGGTAAGTGAGAGGGGG